GTGTGTGTGTGTGTGTGTGTGTGTGTGTGTGTGTGTGTTCTAAATGATCTTGGTTATTGATTTTATCTTTTTGTTTTTACTTTTTAAAAAAATTTTAGATTTTATTTATTTATATGTGGTGCTGAGGATCGAACCCAGGGCCTCACACATGCTAGGCCAGCACTCTACCACTGAGCCACAACTCCAGCCCTGTATGTGTGTTTTAAAAAGCAGGGGGAATTTGTGGAACAGTGACACCTATCCAATTGCCTAAGAGAAACMCTGACCTTAATCCCACCTTCATGTCCATTTTAGACCTGAATAAAGGACTTGGGGATCATACATCCCCCCACCCTCATCAAATTCAACATGTGCAGGCAAATTAATAACAAAAATGACAAAATTACTTTTGTAAATTTATAACTCTAATTCATAGCCAATCCATAACTTTTACTAGACCTCAGGCAAATCACTTGTTTTCTCTGGTATTCAGTTTCCTCATCCAGAAAATGTGTCCATTACCCTCCTAAGGACATGTAAAAAGTCTATTACAAACACTTAACATACATACACTAAGTACTAGAATTTGCTAATACCACTATTTGCTAGTATTTGCTATTCAGATAAAATCTAAAAAGTTAATTCTTTTGGTGGGATAGTATGATAGGGGTATCAAAGTCAGTAAAAAGAATGCTGGAACTCACAAATGAATTGTGTTGAGAATCAGACACTTACTGATCCCCAATCAAAAGAGTTAAAAATTTGTGTGGTAGAAAACAGTTTAGGTCATCAGATAACAGTTATTTAATGGGAAAGGGCTAGGAATCTTTTGTGTAATATGCTCACATGACGAAGAACTATCCACACAACATGCTAACAGCACAACTATCAAAAAACTCTGAAACTGCACAACCTATTAAAAATAAAGAGGAAAGGGGACACTTGGTAAATTATTGAAAACAGCAAAAATTCCTTTTGATGAAAAGATGAACTGAAGCAACATTAAGAGTTATAAAAATACCCAGGCATGGTGGCACACACCTGTAATCCCAGCAACTCAGGAAATTTAGACAGGAGGATCACCAAGTTCAAAGCCAGCCTCAGCAACTTAGCAAGGCCTAAGCAAGTAGTGAGACCCTGCCTCAAAATTTAAAAGGGGAAGGAGGGCTGGGGTTGTGGCTCAGCAGTGGAGCGCTCACCTAGCACGTGTGAGGCCCTGGGTTCAATCCTCAGCACCACATAAAATAAAATATTGTGTCCATCTACAACTAAAAAATAAATATTGAAAAAAAATTTTTAAAGGGGGGACTGGGGATATAGCTCAGTTGGTAGAGTGTTTGCTTCACATACACAAGGCCCTGGATTCAATCCCCAGCACCACAAAAGAAAAAGAAAAAAAAGAAAGAAAGAAAAAAAGAAAAAAAATCTCAAAATTTAAAAACTGCTAGGGATGTGGCTCAGTGGTTAAGCATCTCTGAGTTCAATCCCCAGTACTCCCCC